CTGACACGACCTTTCCGAGAAGTGCGAGAATGCCCACCCTGGATCACCAACATATCGGTAAGAGGACGGTACCCAGCAGAAGCCGCCTGCAAAAACAGAGAAACAAACGAGTCAGAAAACAATAACGAACAGAAAAAAGACAAAAACTTTAAAAGCCTGGTCACAAGACAAATCAATAGAGAGAGGACAGTCTGCCGACACATGAGGCAAGAGGCAAGAACATATGAGGTACGAAAGAAACTGTGCCACGCCCCACCAAGCGAAAAGAAAGGGAAGTCTGCAAGCCAGGAAGGCGCCAGAACCTCATAATGCACACAATACGGGGAAGAGGAACCGAACTCAAGAGAGACCAGGTCTATCACAGAGGCAAAGTATGATTCTTGCAGGAGATACGCACCCAAGGCCTCCAGAATCTCCGCAGGGAAAATCCTGATTCTTGCAGGAGATACGCACCCAAGGCCTCCAGAATCTCCGCAGGGAAAATCCGAGAGGTGGAAAACCTCCGGAAATACAAAGCCGCGGAACAAAAGGGAATTTAAAAATGCACCGGGGGGAGGGGAAGCCAAACCCATATCAAACTCGTACAGGGAAGGGGGATACGAAAACCATGAACCCTGCAACAGCAAACCCTGCCCCAAAGGCACCAAAGCCCAGGCCGGATCAAACAGGGCTCAAATGCCTCAGGCCAACTTCCCCCCTCCCCCAGCCCTGGAAGCCTCAAATTCAAGCTCCAGGACAAAGCCACCCTCCACCCTTGAAGAAAAGGCAGAGTCCAAGGGAAAGGCATCAAAGAAGGGGGTCTGCCAGTAAGACCCAGAAGCAGCAGCGGGAAATGGCCTCAAAGACCTCTGTCCCTGCAACGAATTGGGCAGCCCCTGGAGCTACTCTAGTCTCATCCCCAACTAAACCCCTCCCCTTCCTCTTTTGGAAGGGTAAGGGGGGGTCCTTACCACTACTGGTGTTGCAAAGCTGGTTGAACCCCATCTATTTACCAGGCAAACTGACCCCTGTGAAGGGAGCAACTTCAGGGACCGAGTGGAGGACTACCAAACAGAACCTAGGCATACCTAATGGGAAGCCAAGCAGCCATCCACAAGGCAGGAAAGAACTAAAAACAACGAAAAGAAACCCCGACATTGCACCACAATAACAGGCCACAGAGACATACTGCCACCGCTTGTATGCGAGCTGTGCAGCACCATGCGCCCTTACCAGCTACAAACACTCCCTACCCAGGGCCAAATGAAAGCACCAAGACCCTCTCCTGACCCCAAGAGTGAGGCCGATGCCAAGCAACAGCATCCCCTATAGGAGTGATAACTGAAAGCCCCAGGGAAGATAACCCTGAGACCCAGGGGAAGTACTTACTGGGTGCCTACGGAAGATAACCCTAAGTGCATGCAGCCCAAAGTACAGTGGTACCTCGGAATACGAGTGTCCCTGAATACTAGTTTTTCGGAATACGAGCAGGATTTGCTTGGAAAATGTGCCTCGGAAGGTGAGGGTTACCTCGGAACACGAGTTTGTTGATACGTGTACAGGCCGAACTAGGGCGTGGTGGTATGGCGATCGTCGCCCCTCACCCCTCAGTTTACCAGTGCCTCGTGCCCAGTGACTATCCCACGTCAATTCTTCACCAGGATTTTCAGTGTTTTGTTGGATTTTTGGTCATTTAACCATAAAAGTTGTTATTATATATCTCACCATGGGTCCCAAGAAAGCCAGTGGTAAGGATCAAGGCAAGAAAGCCCATGTGAGGATGACAATAGAGGAGAAACAAAAGATCATTCAGAAGCATGAAAATGGTACATGTGTTGTAGAACTTTGTAGGCAGTACAACAAAGCCACGTCAACGATATGCACTATACTTGACAAAAAAAAAAGACATTATGAGTGCTAAAGTGGCAAAAGGCGTAAGAACAATCACGAAACAAAGACCACAAATACTTGAAGTGGAAAAGTTGTTATTAATTTGGATACACGATAAGGAGTTAAAGGGTGATAGTGTTTCGGAGGCCATTATTTGTGAGAAAGCCAAGGCATTGCACGAAGACCTTGTAAAGAAAACCCCTGGAACGAGTGATGCAGATACGAAAGAGTTTAAGGTAGACAGGGGATGGTTTGAAAAATTTAGAAAAAGAAGTGGTATCCATAGTGTTACAAGGCATGGGGAGGCAGCCAGCTCAGACAAACCAGCCGCTGAACGATTTATTGAAGAATTTAAAGAGCTTGCAGAGGCTGAGGGATACCTACCGCAACAAGTGTTTAATTGTGACAGAAACAGGACTGTTCTGAAAAAGATTGCCTAAGACGACATACATTACGAAGGAGGAAAAATCCTTGCCCGGACACTAGCATATGAAAGATAGGTTTACGCTTGTGCTGTGTTCAAATGTGAGTGGCGATTTGAAAATTAAACCCTTGCTAGTGTATCATTCTGAAAATCCAAGGGTTTTCAAACTGTATAAAGTGCAGAAAAACCAAATGTGTGTGATGTGGAAGGCTAATAAAAAGGCATGAGTGACTAGGATTTTTTTTTCGGAGTGGGTGAATGAAGTGCTGTGCCCTGCCATAGAAAAATATCTGCAGGAGAAACATTTGCCACTCAAGGCCTTGCTTCTCCTCGACAATGCTCCTGCTCATCCTCCAGGATTGGAAGATGAATTGATGCACAGATACAGTAATTTCTCACAATAAAGTTCCTTCCTCCTAACACCCTCCTCTAATTCAGCCTATGGACCAGAAAATCATAGCGAATTTTAAGAAACTGTATGAAAGGGCACTTTTCCAGAAATGTTTTAAAGTGACTGAAGCCACAAACCTCACTCTCAAAGAGTTCTGGAAAGACCATTTTAACATTTGTAGTTCTTTAAAACTCATTGACAAAGCCTGGCAAGAAGTGACTCAAAGAACCCTGATCTCTGGCTGGAGAAAATTGTGGCCTGAATGTGTGACAGAACTAGACTTTGAGGGTTTGAGCCTGTAAATGATGCGCCTATTGTTGAGGAAATCGTTACTCTGGGCCGGCAAATGGGCATGGAATTGGATGGTGATGATGTGGAGGAGTTGGTGGAAGAACACAACGAAGAACTGACCACGAAGAACTCCAAGCCCTTCAAAAGGAACAGCAAGAAGACCCAGCTGAGGATGTTTCTCTAGTGGAGGAGGATGAGGCAGTAGCGAATGTCCCTTCAGCACAAATTAAGAAGGTGTGTCAGATGTGGGAAGAGATGCAAACTTTTATTGAAAAGACTCACCCAGAGAAAGCTGTAGTAGGCCATTGCCTTAATCTTTTCAATGACAATGTGATGCCTTACTACAGAGACAGCTTGCGAAGAAGGGAAAAACAAGCTTCCATGGACAGATTTGTGGTGAGAAAATCGAGCAGTTAGCCACAACCAGGACCTAGTGGTATACAGGCAAACCGTGCCAGGGAGTGCACACCAGAAAGGTCCTCACTGCCTGATGTTATAATGGAAGGGGACTCCCCTGCCAAACAGTAACACTTCTCCTCCCCCCCTCCTCACCATCTTCCATACATCTACAGCATTCATCAACAGGGGGTAAGTAATAACTTGAACATAGTTTTGTAGGTTTATTTAGATGAATTAGGTATAAAATTTAGTTTGAAGTAAGGTTTTTGGGGAAGTCAGGAACGGATTAATTCATTTCCCATTATTTCTGATGGGGAAATTAGCTTCGGAATACGAGTTTTCGGAATACGAGCTGTCTCCAGGAACGGATTAAACTCTTAAACCGAGGTACCACTGTACTGGTACTCCTGGTCAACGCCCCAAAACAGAGCAGGAGCAACCAAGGGGGTAAAATCCTGACAGGAAATCAAGGCTAGAGTAGACATCAGCGCCAGGTGGCTTTAATGGACAAATTGACAGTCTAGTGGCCAGCTCAGTAGGGCACTCCCCCCCCTAAATAAATATAAATATATTTAATACGTATAGTCGGTAAATATAGTCGCCTTGACGATTTGCTTGTTACCTTGTTTCTCTTGGGGAGTTCTTGGGCTCTGTTCGGTCTTGGGCTGCAATTTTCTAACAGTTGGGGTCTGTTTTGGGGTGCCTTCCTTTCTGGGTGCCTAACCCCGGTCGATGGCAGACATGAATATACTCTCAAAGAGTAGAGTTTTTTCATAGGTCATTGCTCCCTTCACCTCTCTGCAGAAACCTGGTTCTGGCTTGTGGTTCCTGGTAAGCATAAGAACTCCATATGACTGAAGCCCTAGACTCACTGATAGCTCCAGGGAGCCGACAGGGTTCCCCACAGAAAACAATGCTTTTTAAAGCTTATAGACACTGTATTTCAAAGCTTGACACTGTACTCCAATGTATTACTGTTGTTGACATTAACAGTAATGAGCATGATAATGATGGGTATAATAATGGCCTTGAGCATAATATGACAAATATCATATGATGAACATAACAATATGAGGAGCATGATAATATAAGCACATTATAAACATAATATAATGAGCATAATATGAGAATAATTATGATATGAGCATAGTATGAGAATAATAATGATATGAACATATGAAAATAATAATGATATGAGCATAGTATGAGAATAATAATGATATGAACATAATATGAAAATAATAATGATATGAGCATAGTATGAGAATAATAATGATATGAGCATAATATGAAAATAACGATATGAGCATAGCATGTGAATAATAATGATATGAGCATAATATGAAAATAATAATAATGAGTATAATAATGGTTATGACGAGCATAATAATTATTATTTTGAGCATAATATGACCATAATGATAATATGAGGATAATAATGATATAATGTGCATATTATTATATGAGTATAATTAGGATACTGTATGATGAACTTGAAAATAAATTGATGATAAAATTGTCTAACAGTGTTGTTCCAATAGAGAGAACATAGAAGCGTAGCGAAAGACAAATAACTTGCTTACCGAGCACTACGCTAAATCCACATACAACACACACACTACTCACAGTCCATAGGAGGAGTTGATAGCAAGGGCCGTAATGGGTCCAGGAGGTTCTCCCTCCACCCAGGGCGTCACGCACACCAGCTCGGCCTGGTAACCCGATGCTTTCTTCTGTGACCCACCTCGTACGTGTATCGGCACAAAATAGTCCACCGATGCCTATAAAAAGAACCTAACATCAGCCTTTTTTTTTTACACACACAAAACTGAAGACTGTGTATGTTTGTGCTCAAGCATTTAATGTAATGAATTTGTTTTTTCTAGACAGCCTCGGTAACTTTCAGGTGGATTTGTTCGGGCACCACAGACACGCACAAAATGATGAAATCACCAGACTTGCACAGGCCTACCTATCACCAGGATCAGAATCTGGTGTGCTCATACCCTATTCCCGAACAGCTCCATGGTGCAGGAAAGCACTCTTTCTCAAAATACCTTCCCTGATCATACGAAAAAAAATTTGCATGCGACTTTCTTTGGCCATGATGGAACAAAGAAGTCTGGCAGTTTAAAGACTTTGACAGAGCAGATGCCCACAGCAGTCTGCTCCTGCCCTGCTGTGGAACGGAAGTTGCCACGCAGATATTTTTTACTTAATTATTTCAATGTCCATCACTTTTTTTCTCACTTTTTTTTTTTTTTGGTGGGGGGGGCAATAATATTCAATAGTGTGTCATTTGATAAATTTATATAATAAAATGTGTTGACCATCGCTATACTGTACTTTAAAATTTGGTACACACATTAATGACAGAATTATTATATTCTTAAAACAAGAAAACAGTGTTTTTACTTTTATAAACTTTTATAAATAGTGTAAATACTCATACACACTCACACTCTCTCATTATTAATTATATATATATATATATATATATATATATATATATATATATATATATATATATATATATATATATATATATATATATATATATATATATATAATGACCAGACCACACACTAGAAATTGAAGAGATGACGACGTTTCGGTCCGTCCTGGACCATTCTCAAGTCGATTGTGAATCGACTTGACAATCACAATCGACTTGAGAATGGTCCAGGACGGACCGAAACGTTGTCGTCTCTTCAATTTCTAGTGTGTGGTCTGGTCATCATACTTCAGCCACGTTATTGTGACTCATCGCCTGCATATATATATATATATATATATATATATATATATATATATATACAGTGGTACCTCGGAATGCGATTGTCCCTGTATGCGAGATTTTCGGAAGGCGAGGTGTATTTACTCCAAAAATTTGTCTCAGAAGGCGAGGGTTACTTCGGGAGGCGAGTTTGGACGCGAGTTTGTTGATACGCGTAAGCCGACCTAGCGCGTTCGTCGCCCCTCCGCCCCTCAGTTTATTATTGTCTCGCGCTCAGTGACTACCCCCACATCAATTCTTCTCGCGGATTTTCAGTGTTTTGTTGGATTTTTGGTGATTTGTCTATACAATTTGTTATTATATATCTCACCATGGGTCCCAAGAAAGCCAGTGGTAAGGATAAAGGCCAGAAAGCTCATGTGAGGATGACAATAGAGGAGAAACAAGAGATCATTCGGAAGCATGAGAACGGTACACGTGTTGTTGAACTTTGTAGGCAGTACAACAAAGCCACATCAACAATATGCACTATACTTAAGAAGAAAAATAAGATTATGGGTGCTAAAGTGGCAAAAGGAGTAAGAACATTAACGGCACAAAGACCACAAATACTTGAAGAAGTGGAAAAGTTGTTATTAATTTGGATACACGACAAGGAGTTGAGGGGTGATAGTGTTTCGGAGGCCATTATTTGTGAGAAAGCCAGGGTGTTGCACGAAAGTGATGCAGATAAGAAAGAGTTTAAGGCAAGCAGGGGCTGGTTTGAAAAATTTAGAAAGGGAAGTGGTATCCATAGTGTTATATATATATATATATATCTTCCATATATATATATATATATATATATATTATATATATATATATGTCGTACCTAGTAGTCAGAACGCACTTCATTTGCCTACTATGCAAGGCCCGATTTGCCTAATAAGCCAAGTTTTTCTGAATTATATATATTTTTATAATATATATATATATATATATATATATATATATAATGTCTACCTAGTAGTCAGAACGCACTTCTCTGCCTACTATGCAAGGCCCAATTTGCCTAATAAGCCAAGTTTTCTTGAATTAATTGTTTTTCAACTACCTAACCTACCTAACCTAACCTAACTTTTTCGGCTACCTAACCTAACCTAACCTAACCTATAAAGATAGGTTAGGTTAGGTAGGGCTGGTTAGGTTCGGTCATATATCTACATTAATTTTAACTCCAATAAACAAAATTGACCTCATACATAATGAAATGTATGAGGTCAAATGCTTTATCATTTCATAAGAAAAAAATTAGAGAAAATATATTAATTCAGGAAAATTTGGCTTATTAGGCAAATCGGGCCTTTCATAGTAGGCCGAGAAGTGCGTTCTGGCTACTAGGTACGATAAATTATATATATATATATATATATATATATATATATATATATATATATATATATATATATATATATATATATATATATGTATGTCGTACCTAGTAGCCAGAACGCACTTCTCGGGCTACTATGCAAGGTCCGATTTACCCAATTGGCCGAGTTTTCCTAAATTTATACATTTTTCTCATTTTTTTCTTATGAAATGATATAGCTATCCATTTCATTATGTATGAGTTAATTTTTTTCAATCATGAGTTAAAACTAACGTAAATATATGATCGAATCTAACCAAACCTACCTAACCTAACCTATCTTAACCTAACCTAAACTAACAAAACAAAGTAAATAATTTATGTTCTTATTATAATATAATAATAATAATTCAAATAAACTAATTGGAAAAAATTTATTGAAAATAAAGAAAATCACTCGGCCTATTAGGCAAATCAAGCATTGCATAGTAGGCCGAGAAGTGCGTTCTGGCCACTAGGTACGACATATATATATATACATTATATATATATATATATTATATTATATATATATATATATATATATATATATATATATATATATATATATACACACATACATACAAATAAAACATAAAAATACATAAAAACAAAGCAACAAGATCAGTAGTGGAAGGGGGAGTAAAGAGCAAAGGAAAAGGGAACATGTTCCTGAAAATTGTATATACCAACATAGATGGAGTGAGGTCAAAAACTTTGGAGTTGCAAGATATAATCCAGCTTAGGGTCCCAGATATTGTTGCATTATCAGAGACGAAACTTGAAGGAAATATAATAAATGAAGTCATATTCCCAAGAGGCTACTCAGTTTGGAGACGTGACAGGAAAACTAGGAAGGGAGGAGGAGTGGCTGTACTGGTGAAAAAACACCTGAAGGTAAGAGAGTTAATATTTGAAAACCCTCGAGATATTGACATAATGGCATTGCAGGTCTGGAATCAGGATGATAAGCTGATAATTGTAAATACCTACAGCCCACCAGCAAGCAACACATGGACAAAGGAAGAACTAGATGACAAACGAGAGGGCCTCATAATGGTCATGAGAGATATTATTGTACAAGCAGATAAAGATAAATCACGACTGTTGATACTGGGGGACTTCACCTTTAGAGCAATAGACTGGGAGGCCTATGAAGCAAGAACGGAGGACTTTTGGACATGCAGATTTGTGAACCTCATTCTGGAGACATTCTTGTATCAACACATAAAGCAAGCCACAAGAATGAGGGAAGGAGATGTACCGTCAGTACTGGATCTAGTATTCACCAGGAAAGAAGAAGAGATTTTTAACATCCAGTACCTTCCTCCCTTGGGAAAGAGTGATCACGTCCTGTTAGACATTAAATATGCTTTAAGATATCATCTAGAAGAAAATGGGGACATTGAAACAGTTGATAAACTCGATTTAAGGAGAGGCAACTATGGGGAACTTCGAAATTTTTTTAATGAGTGTAATTGGACAGAATTGTTGCTAGGCAGGGAAGTAAATGAAATGTATGCCAAATTTTTAAAACTATACGAGGAAGGCACACAAACATTCATACCAAAACAGAGATGCAGGGCCAGAAAACAGGATTGGTTTGACAGAAATTGTGAGAGGGCAAGAGACCAAAAGACACAAAAATGGAATCAGTATAGGAAGAGGCCAAACCCCCAAACATACCAGCGATACAAAGATGCGAGAAACAACTATACAGCAGTAAGGAGAGAGGCAGAAAGAAATTTTGAAAAAGGGATAGCAGATAAATGTAAAACAGAACCCGGCCTATTCTACAAATTCATAAACAACAAATTGCAGGTAAAGGATAATATCCAGAGGTTGAAAATGGGAAACAGATTCACAGAAAATGAAAAGGAAATGTGTGAAACATTAAATGAAAAGTTCCAAAGTGTGTTTGTACAAAATGAAATCTTCAGAGAACCAGACACAATAAGAATTCCAGAGAACAACATAGAGCGGATAGAGGTGTCTTGAGATGAAGTGGAAAATATGCTAAAGGAGCTCAGGAAGAACAAAGCAGCTGGCCCAGATGGCGTTTCACCATGGGTTCTGAGAGAATGTGCATCTGAGCTCAGCATTCCACTTCACCTGATCTTTCAGGCATCTCTGTGTACAGGAATCGTAGCAGACATGTGGAAACAGGCTAACATAGTTCCAATCTACAAAAGTGGCAGCAGGGAAGACCCCCTCAATTATAGACCTGTATCATTGACAAGTGTAATAGTGAAAGTATTGGAAAAGCTAATCAAAACTAAATGGGTAGAACACCTGGAGAGAAATGATATAATATCAGACAGACAGTATGGTTTTCGATCTGGAAGATCCTGTGTATCGAATTTACTCAGTTTCTATGATCGAGCCACAGAGATATTACAGGAAAGAGATGGTTGGGTTGACTGCATCTATCTGGACCTAAAAAAGGCTTTCGACAGAGTTCCACATAAGAGGTTGTTCTGGAAACTGGAAAATATTGGAGGGGTGACAGGTAAGCTTCTATCATGGATGAAAAGTTTTCTGACTGATAGAAAAATGAGGGCAGTAATCAGAGGCAATGTATCGGAATGGAGAAATGTCACAAGTGGAGTACCACAGGGTTCAGTTCTTGCACCAGTGATGTTTATTGTGTACAT